TTTGCTGCTCAGAGGTGCAGGTAAGCTGTGTATGTCACCATGACTTCTGTGGATGTCTTTGTGAATGGTCCTTCACAGTCTAACAAATTAGACATGGATTCCTTCGTTTGTTCACCGGATGATAAATGAGGATGTGTCATGGGTATGAATGAGAAATGCTTTCTCATTTAGATCCTAGTGCAAAATGTCTTTCAGAAATGATGTGCTCTGATCTTTACCATATAAGGTATATTGTATGGTTTCCTTCAGTTTCCGTGTACTTGAGCTCTCAGCAGTTTAAAATTGCCAAGCTCCACCCTTTTAGTGACATATACATATACTCATTGGGTGACTATGTTATGCTTTTTAAAAAAAATTTTTTTTGTTATGGATAAGAATGTGTGTTCTTTTGTGTTTGTGTGTTTGCGTGTGTGTGTGTGTATGTGTACAAATACCATCATTTATAAGAATGTGTGTTCTTGACTGTGTTTTGAACATATTGTATGTAAAATGATCAGTGTACTGTAGATTTAAAATGCCAATTTTCTCACACTTTCATCTTTTTTTCTTTTCCTTTATCATTACCAGACATTTAGTCAATTCCCTTTCTGCTGTGCTGTGATATGATGTTGCTTTCCCCGTTTTATTTATTGTACGGATTTACGATGATGTCACAACCAGAGGAAGCAGCTGTTTGTAGGATATAATTTTTTTTATTAACTCCTTGTTTCTGATAACCAGCTACCAATAATTTCAGCATTATTTTAGTGCCTTTTTCATCTCATAGTTTAGTGGAAATTTTCTTTCCCTGTAGAAATCTAGTGATATTTTAGATCTCTACTTTTTTACTTTCTTTGTACTCAAGTTTATTTAGAAAAATGGGATGATGAAGTTCCTATATCATAAAGGTACTTATAAGAAAAAGAATATAAGGACTTTCAAATAGTTCCTAACATGTAACATAAGCATTCTAAAAGTGTTAGTTGCTATTTGTTTTTGATAAAGAGGAGGAAAGGAAATACGTGGTAGTTCCCCTTTAAATAACATTCAGATTCCAGGCTTAGAGCTTGTATGCTATAAACTTGTAGGGACTGAGTTGGGAATGACAGAAATGCTTGATACTGCTCAAATATCTTACTTGACTGACAAATACTGGCTATAGCTATTAACTGTTAGCCTGGGTGCTTAATTTTAACCTAAAAAAAGTAATTTTGTAAGCTTCTCAGTACATAATTAAGAACAACTCTTAATAGCACTTCCAGAATCCAAAATTGTTCTGTGTCTGAATAAAAGCTCTTCTTAACCCAAATTGGGGGGGGGGGGGGGGGAGAGGGGGTATTTGGTTTCCTTGGAAGTTCAGAATTCAGTACTTTGCCATCAGGGATGCCAGATGTGGTTTGCTGGGGAGAGCCTAAGAGTGCAAAGACCCTGGAATACAATAAAAACTGTTTTCCTTGAGAGTAAAGATTACTTAAAAATGTAAAGTTAGCCTGACCAGTGTAGCTCAGTGGTTGTGCATCTATCTCTGAACCCCTTTTCCCGGTCGGGGCACATGCCTGGGTTGTGGCTCCTTAATCGATGGTATGTAGGAGGCAGCCGATCGATGATTCTTTCTCATCATTGATGTTATTTTCCCTCCCTCTTCCTTCTTCTCTTAAATCAATTATATATATATATATATATATATATATATATATGTTAAAAAGTAAAGTTAGAAACAAGTGTTTCTCAACTTTATTGAATTATTATTTTAAAAAAATAGAATACAAATCAAACAAACAAAAAGTAAAATAATAGGGCATTCATGTACTCACCCACAAGATTAAGCAGAAGTTAAGATTTTGCCATATTGGTTTCATATATCTTTTTTGAAAAACAATAAAACATAACAGATGTTGCTAAGATACCATCCGTCTTTACTTCTTCCTCCTTCCCCAGAGGTAATTGTTTCCTCAAAGTTGGTATATATCATATTTTGTACTTCTATTACATGTGTATATATCTAAACAGACTATTACTTTGTGTCTGTTAAACTTTTATATGATACTTATTCCCATACCAAAGGACAGTGAAATTGCTTCTATTTTCTTTTTTCCACAATTCCCACGGTGCTGCAGTTAATATCCTTCTTGTGCAAAACATGGGGCTTTCCTCTCACAGACCACAAGTGGGACTGCCGAGGGGCTGGCACTGTCACCTCCAGCTGTTTCCAGATCGCTCTCAGAAGGGGGTGTAGTGGGATAGTCTCTCCTGTGATCAGTTTTTATGAGTTCCTCTTTTCCAGCATACTTACCAGCACTTATATGTAGACTTCCAAATTAATTGCCAATTTTAATAGGTATAAATATTACCTCATTGTTTTAATTTGCTGTTCCCTGATTACGATGAGATGATGTTTTCATATATCTATTGGCTTTTCAAGTTTCCTTCTCTGTGGATTATCTGCTCATATCGCTTGCCCATTATTCTGTTAGGTTGCTGTTGACTTTGTCGGTCTATATGCTATATATATCTTCCCCCAGTCTGCAACTTGTCTTTTCACTTGCTTATGGTTTTTTAGAACAACCCATATGGCTGAATTTGGGTGACTTTTTTATTTTTTAGGGAGTTTGCAACAATATTTATAAGTCTCATAGATTTATGTTTCTCCATATACTGTCCTTTGTTATCTAGGTGGACATTTTTGTGTAACGAGGTCAGCAGTGCTCTTTTTCTTTTCTGGGAACATTTGTTTGAATATTTGGTAAAGTTAATTTGTGCAACCATCTGGGCCTAGTGATTTTTGGTATTTAGTGACTGCTTGATTTACAGGGCTGTGTGGAATGATGCTTAACTGGTTCTTTTACGCTTATAGGTCTATTCAGGTTTTCTATCTATTGAAAAAGTTTTGATAAGTTAGATTTTTATCTAAGAGATTGCTTATCTCATCTGGGTTTTTCAAATTTATTGTCATGTTATTCCTAATATTTTCATATCATGTAAATTTCTACCAAATTATGTCTCTTTTTAATATCTGGTATTTGTGCCTTTTGTCTTCCATGTCTAATTTTGTTGATTTGGTTTATTATTTATTTTCTTTTTGTTACTTCTCATAATTTTATGTTCTTTGGGTTTATTCTTACATCATTAATTTTCTGTCTTCTGTCATATATGCATTTAAGGCTATAAATTTTTCCCTAAGATCTGTTTTAGCTATATCCCACAAGCTTTGGTATATTATTGAGAAGGGTTTCCAGACCCAATTTCTGTGCATGTAGACTTCTCCATACCAGCAAGCAATTCTCAGACACCAGCAGGGTGCTGGAGAATTCAACTCAATTCTGACCGTCTTCCCAGAGATAGCATCACATTCCACAGGTTAAAGGTTCAGACCTAGAGACTGCTTCCCTCCCCCAACACACATGCTTCAGTGCTAGTCACAAGTCCAGGTTGTTACCTGTGCTTCTGACTCACACAGTGATGTTCCAAATGGCTCACATAAATCAGGGGAACTCCTTTACTCGCTAGGCTACTGGTTTATTACAAAGTTCACTGAAGGATACAGAGGTGAGGTCCCCAACAAAGGCGCTTCTGTCTGTGGAGCTTGGGGCATGGCGTAATGGCATGGGAAGTGCTCCCCAAGCCACCAACCAGCTGTCTTCCTAGGTTTTATGGAGGCTTCAGAGTTAGATTGACTAAGTCAGTGGCCTTTGGCCTTGAGCTCAATCTCCACCTCCTCTCCCCTCTCCACAGGTCAGGGAGTGGGACTGAAAGTTTCAAACCTCTGATCACATGGTTGGTTCTCCTGACTACTAGCCACCGCCCTGGGATGGGATCCAAAAGTCACCTCATTAGCATACAAAAGATATCTTTATCACTCTCAACACTTAGGAAATTTTAAGGGTTTTAGGAGCTGTGAACCAGGAACTATGGATGAAGATCAAATATCTTATAAATCACAATATGGCAATCATGTATTTATTGATCAGTTAGACTATTGGCTATTTATTGATCAGTCTGTTGGCTATTATAATTTTCTGTTTGAATTATTTAGTACATTAAAAATTTTTTAGAAGCATTGGAGATTTTTGGTTTATATTTTTCTGTTTTCAATTGTGTTGCATCGTACTCAAAACATGCTCTACAGGATATTGATTCCTTGGTATTTTTTGAGATTTGCTTTGTGGTGTCCTAGTGCTGCCCAGAAGCCTGCTCCAGTCCCCAGGGTTGTGATGTCTTGCCATAACAAGAGCAGCAGCAACAATAGGGTTCGGTTTTGTGGCAGTGATTCGGTTTTGATCACCAGCTGTTAAAGCTTGTAAGAACCTCAGCATGGACTAACATTAACTTGTTTGAAAAAGGAAGTAGCTTTTGAATACTTGTTGTTACAGCGGCATTTGCTCTGGTTAATATAAAAATGGCCTAAGCCAGGTTGGCTTGTTTGATTCAAATGCGTTCTATGAGCAAATTGTACGGTTACTTATGACCAACATTAAAAACTGTATTTTTTAACCAATGGACACAGACACTGGGATGGTGGGAGCTTGTCCTGAGGGGAGGGAGTAGCAGGGGATGAGGGTCAATGGGGGGGGGGAGAGACATATGTCATAGTATGTAAAACATATGTTCTAAAGTCCCTAAACAATAGCTAAAGAGTTTCCTTCTATTACCTAACGTTGCTTGCTAATTTTATTACCTTAACTTTGCTGTTCATTTCCAGTACTTCAATTTGTATATTCAAGAATATTAACTTATTATATTAAAAGTTATATTTTAAATTTTGAGTAATATCAATTTTTGTGGTAGAAACATGTATAATTTATAATTTGGCTATCATAGAAAAACACTTTGATAAAAGACTTTTGTATTATTTTTTGCTATGTCTATTAATGCAGTTGCTTAAACTCTTTGTAGTACTAGAAATTTTGATCTTTAATAGACCATTGAGAGTTTTGGGTAGAGGTGATAAAGGAGAAATGGGTCTGAGAAAACAAACTCTGGCATTGATGTTACATAATAAATTTGCTTTTCTCTGCTTTCAGACTGGTCGAATTGACAAATCCTACCCTACAGTATGTGGCCACACAGGACCAGTGCTTGACATAGATTGGTGCCCGCATAATGATCAGGTCATTGCCAGCGGTTCAGAGGATTGCACGGTTATGGTAAGCTTCCAGGGTATGGCATACACACAAGCCAGTAACACTCACCGAATGCCTGCAAAAACTCTGTGTGTGTGTGTGTGTGTGTGTGTGTGTGTGTGTGTGTGTGTGTGTGTGTGTAGATGCTTGAAAAGCACAAAATCACAGCAGTTTTGATTGTCCAATGGATTATACAGGACTTAGTGACATTAAAGTTTAATGACAGAGAAGGCTTTTACAAGAGGTTGTACTATGTTATCCTTTTTCTTCTTTTGTATGAGTGTGTGTTTGTATGTGCTTATTGACAGTTCTGTGGGAAGATTTTGGAGAAACTGAAATGACTTTGCAATAATTCTGTGAATTACTGGACCACATGGCCTCTCTTCTCTCCCCAAAAAGAGAGAAAAAACTGCTCCTAAGAATTATACATTACAGTGAAATAAGTTCCCAAAAGGGTATGGATAAAAAAAGGGGTATGGAACAGATACCGAGAGGTAGTACAGCGTTTTTGCAAGTGCTTCTTTTTAAGCTATCATTAGAAGTTGTGTTCTGTCTTGTGGACCCTTGGTAAGAAATCCTTTTTTTGTGCAGCAGTGCAAACATTTTGAAAGGTTTTTAAAGTAAGTGTTATATATTTCCTCATTTGGATTCCAAAAGTAGATTACATATGAAATAAGGTCTTGGGCTACTTCTTTAAAAAATTGATTTGAGAGAGAGAGGGAAGGAGAAAAACATCAACTGGTTGCCTCCCAAACACACCGCAATCATCAGGGATCAAACTCAAAACCTGGGTATGTACCCGACCAGGAATTGAACCAGCGACCCTTTGGTGCACAGATGACGCTCCAACCAACTGAGCCACCTGGCCAGGGCTGGTGTACTTTTTAATATAAAGCTTCTTGTTCTTGATTATGATCTTAAGATTGTAATTGGTTTGGATCAATTTTTAACCTTAGCCCAAAAAGTTGGACATAGCACAGAGGGAAAGTACTGAAGTAAGTACTGAAACTGGGGAGTGTAGTAACCGATCAAGTTGCAAGCAGTCTCAGATTCATCAAGTGGGGAGCTGAGAGAACCACTACTGTTATTTCCCTCTCCATTTTCTGCAGACTGAACCAGACTTAGGAGCATTGTTTGGAAGCCTTTATTAATTAAAATGATTTTACACAAACACTTGTTAATTTCTGAACTGTGACATTTAAACATTTACTCATTTTCACTCATGGACTTTTGGCTAAGGATAACTCCTCCTGCGATCTCATAATTTTGGCAGCCAAGCATATTAAAGAAATATGCTGCTGTTAAAAGGAATTGTTCCTTTTAATGTGCCTGCTAAGTTGATCATTTTAATGGCCACAAACATTTTGCTGAGGGCAGAAGAACAGTATTTCCACCTAATGCCAAAATCTTAAATTGACTGTGAGTCTTAACCTCTCTTGATCCACCTCTTTCTGTTGTCAGCATTATTGGTCATGTCCCTTTAAAAAAAACACACACATACAACTTTTGTATTATGAAACACACTAAAGTTGAATGAATTCAGTTAAGCGAATTGATTTATTACAAGGGAATACCCGGCTGTTTTTGGTAGCTACCTTACTATTTGGTGTGTTAAGGTGTTCCAGCTCACCTTGGACATCCTTCGCCCCACACCTCAAATCAGCCATTTCTCTCAAGTTCTGATTTCTTTTCATGGAAAATGGTATTTCTAGGTCACAATCTGGGTGCTAGGGATGCTCATTGGTCCGTGGTGATTATTGTTTTTAAGACTTTGCTATTATAATAACTATGAATGATGTCAGATGGGTACTAGACTTACTGGGAGGAGGAATAACCTCATAAGTTATATAAAATATCTAACTACTGTATGCTGTACACATGAAATATTGAATGTCAAGTGTAATTGAAAATTTAAAAAAAAAAGATTGTAGTAAATGGAGCTAGAATACACACACGCACACACACACACACACACAAAACACACACATATTTAAAGATGTGGTAACTTTTGACTTCATTTTAATATTTCCAGTTCAAATTTAGGGCTATAGAGTTTTTATCTAACCTCTGTAATATAACATCTCTATATATCCTTTCTTCCACACTGAGAATCCGGGTTCTCAAGGATTCAAAGAATGAATTAGAATATCCTGACCCTATCTCATTTGCTTTTTCACATATACATATGAAAATCTCAGATGCATTTAAGGCATTGCTTTCCATGGACTACTATTTGAAGTGATGTTTTATACCAGCAAACGCAATTATATAAATCTTCCTCCTATACTTTATTCCTTTTTCCATATTTTTTGTATTGTTGAGTGTTTTCCTTCAGCAATAGCTTCTTATAGAGGGTTTTAGAGAATATGGCTACTAGTGTCATACTTGGGAAAATTTTAGCTCCAAGAAAAGAATAATGCTTTAAATAATACAAAGAGCAGCCAATTAAGTTTTGTGAATGGTGTTGATTTGACATGGTCCCTTATCTACAGGGTAGTAATCAAACACAAATTTTAGAAATGGCTAGTTCAGTAAGGTTGCATAATTGTTTCTGGGACAGGGAAAGTTTGAAGGTGGTCTCCAGCTAGATGTTCTGAACAGTCCCAAATGATTACATTTAAATGAGCACTTTTCCATTCTCCCCAATCAGTCTCACGCTTCTGTGGAAATCAACAAAAACAACTCCATATTTTGTACATTTTTGCTTCTGTTGTAAGTTTTCCTAATACAGTTTTTGTCTTGAAATAAAAATGGAAGCGATGTTGTAGTTGGTGATGAGAGCGTGTTCCTTGGGATTCCTGTCCCTCAGTCCTTCAGCAGGGCTTCCTGTCATTTCCTTTTTGTGCAGATTGCATCTGGGCCATTTTCCAGCCGATATTACAGCCTTGGCAAACCAGAACCCAGCTCTCAGTTCTTGATTTTCCCAAAGCTAATGTTGTTCGCGATGTCATGGTTCATTTATGAATGTCATGACTCTGTGCCTCCTACCCCGTGGGGTTAGTGGATCTGTAGGGGATTGTGCTGCTCTGCAGCTGCTACAGAGTCTGCAACCTCTTCCTGTCGCTTAAGATTATTTATTTCCTTCATTTTCCCTTTGGAATTGGTTTCCTTAGCTTTTAAAAAATATAGCCTTTGGGGAAATAGCCTTTTTTATGGCTGTAACTCTAGTGCCTAGCCCAGTAGCGAGTTCATGATGGGTGTAAAGTAGGGAAGCAGTGTCTGGAAGCACTTTGTGCTGCTCTAAATGTGCATTGTGTTCGCTTGAGAAATAAAACCTTCAAACAAATTGCACTTAAAAATTACTGCTTGCGAGAAGCCTGAGCTGCTTAATTTTCCTCCTTCCTTGTTGGAAATATTTTCTTGAGCTGGCCTTTGTCCATATCCAGAGTTTCACATGTGAAAAGGATGCCGGTGATACGACAGTTCCCGAACATGTGCTTCAAGTTGTTTTTTTTCCAGAACCACCGTGGGTTTTCACTGGTTGATTCACTTTTTCATCTGGAAGCCTTGGGACTGATTGCGTTTTTCCCTTTCTTTCAAAACAAAACAAACCATTGCCATAGTAAAAATGAGTTATCCAAATACCAAGTTTCAGGAACATATTATTGTTTAAAAAACAAAAACAAAAATATCAAGTGGCGGCGGATAGAGCTGATAGCCCTGCTGGGCTGAGGTGCCCACTCTCCGCACAGCAGAGGGACTTCAGAACCTTTTTCCTCTCCACTCACGGCATGTCTTTGAAAAAGCTGGTGGGTATTAGAACCTGTGTCCACAGCAGAGAAAAGCTAACGGACCTGCCTAGAGCTCAGAGCTGTCCTCATCCGTGCTAACTGTCCTCGGTGTGAACCAGAGCCTTCATGCATGAGATATTTTGGACGTAAGTTAGACTGTTGGATACGGTGCTCAATTAACTTGAAGATAAGACTCATTCCAAGAAACTATGCTGGTCGGACTTAACAATCCATGGCGATCATCGTAACAGCAAGAAAAATAATCTTAAACATATAGTAGGGACTTTTTTCTTGCCAAGTGCTGTTTTTAGGCCTTACATGCATGATTATAGTGAATCTTCATAGCAGCAAAGTAAGGCAGGAATAACTCCCATTTTCCAACTTAAGAAACACAGGCCCTGCACAATCGTTTTATCAAAGGTCACCCTATTGTGTATTTCACATTAAGGTAGTGCTTGGGTGTACAAAATGTTTTAGTCCATTTGACCTTTCCAGTAACTCCTGAGGAAGCAGAGCTGATGCTGTCTCGGTATTAAGGAAATTGAGGTTCCAAGAAGTGAAGTCCCTTTTTAATGCTAGTATGGCCAATTAGCGTCCCATCTGTGAAGGAGCCCAGGTACCTTCTGACACCCAGGCCAGTGCCCTTTCTTCCGCACCAGGCTGCATCCCGTTGGCACAGGAGAATACTGAGCATGTACCCAGTGCACTTCCGCTCTTTGTTGTCCTGCTGCTGCAGAAGGCATGATCTCTCAGTCCAAACTGGAAGGCCCAGGCCCGGAAGCTGCAGACGGTCCTAAAAAGGGCAGAGAGCCACATAATGACAGGCCTATGAGTAGGGCCAGTGGGCACCAACCAAGGGGTGTGTACGCTTCATGTGGAAAGACTTACAGCTCTGCCGGCTCTTTTCCACAGTCCACAATGGAGAACAGCACCACCTTTATTGACCAGCAGAGGCAAGAGTTCCGTCGTCTTTTCATTTAGTGCTACAGGCTTTTCCAGTCACTTTCTCCTCCCACTGGAAAGCCTCATGTCTGTGCTGTCTTTGTTACTCTGGCCTTTTTCCTGTCAGCCACTCGGCCAGCCTCCTGGGCAGTCACTTTTTGGAAGATTGCTATATGCATCTGTGTTTTTTATTTCAAAACTGGATACTTGATTTCCTCCCTCCCTTCCTTCCTTCCTTCCTTCCTTCCTTCCTTCCTTCCTTCCTTCCTTCCTTCCTTCCTTCCTTCCTTCCTTCCCTTCTTCCTCCTGGTCATCCTTCCAGGTCATCTTCTTTTCATCCTTCCAGGTCATCTCCTGAGGAAGCCTTCTTGGATATACCCAACCTGAACAGCAAGAAGGTGACCCCATGACATTTGTATTTTCACTCAGCACTTAGCTTATGCCAGCATTCCCTTGGTCACACACACGGTGTGGATTCCTTGTAATAAGAGTAGTTAATATCTATCCAGAGCCTGCCTGCATGCCAGGCATTATTCTAAACGCTCTAGATTCATATTACCACATTGGTCCTCAAAACCACCAAGTGAGGGCGGGTTTATTATTAGTCCCATCTTATAGGAGACTTAAGGCCAGACAGGTTAGTGACTGTTCCCAAGGTCATAGCTGACACGTAGCCGAATCAGGGATTGGACAGTCCGTTCTAGTTCAGGAGCCCATGTTCTCAACTACTGCATTCTACTGTCTCTACATTTGGAGGGCACTGATTGTGCCAGGCACTGTTCTAAGAACCTTATTAACTCATTTAATCTCACAGCAGCCTTAGGAAGTATAGGTACTGATGTTGCCTCTGTGCACAGTAACGCTGAGTTGTTTGCCCAGGACCTCATGGTAAGTGGCCCAAGCAGGATTTGAACCAGGATCTGTTTGGCTCCAGAGCCCGTGCTCCAACCCTCTACATCATGTCCCTTGTCTTTGCTGACTTTGGCTTTCAGTCTTATAGACGTCTCTGCTTTTCTCAGCCTTTCCACCCTGCCTGGTGATGGACTGCCTCATAGTGGCTGCTCAAGAAGCATGTTGCCCACCTCACTCAGCCTCTTCCCCTGTCTAGTCCTCCCCATACTATTGTCTGTGTCCATGGGCTGTGCATATATGTTCTGTAGCTAATTCCCTTCACCTTCCTTTATCTAGCCCCCAATCCCCTCCTTCTGACATTTGTCAATCTATTCCATGTATCTGTGCTTCTGGTTCTATTTTGTTCATCAGTTTATTTTGTTCATTAGATTCCACGTATTAGTGAGATCGTATGGTATTATGTTTTTCTCTGACTGATTTATTTTGTCCAGGTCTATTCACACTGTCACAAAGGGTAAAAGTTCCTTCTAACGAGAAAAAAAAAAAAATATGATGCATGAATCTTTTGTTAAAGATAGTAAAATGGGTTAGGTGCCTGTATTAAATGCATAAACCTAGTTGAAGGAACCATTGAATCTGCCAGAGTGAGTAACATATAGAAGGAACCGTTTCCTTATTTTAAAAATTTTACAATAAATGTTTTGCTTCATCATTAAAATTTCCTCACCATCCCAGGAGAAGGTGGTGCAGAAGCGAGAGAAAGGGCAAGTGAAGTTCCATGATGAGCTCTGCTTCCGCGATAATATTTAAGCTGGAAATGCTGATTATCACCAAAACCTCCCATCACGCTGCTTCATTAGGGACTTGGGGAAACACACAATTGATTTATTTAATTGTGGTCAGAGGTTTGTAATCCTTGCAAGAAAACCCAGCAGCCCATGGTTTTGGTGCCACCTGGAGATGGCTGATGGTATTACTACTTTCAGTTCTAAGCCTAGGTAGAATTCATCTTGCAGAATGCATTTCCTGTTGTCACTAAAGTCTCATTTCAATTGTTTACCTTGCTGACTTCATGCTTTGATCAAATTAGTAGTCATTTTCTATTTGTTCGGACATTTTTAAAAACAACTGTACACAGTCATTTCATATTATTCTGCATTTTATCCAAAGACCATTGTATGTTCTGTTTATGCAGAACAAGTCTTCAAACCAGATGATCACAGTAAATGTGATATTGAAAGATGGGTCCTCTTTCTCTTTTCCAACAGGTATGGCAGATTCCAGAAAGTGGACTCACCCTTTCCCTGACCGAACCCGTGGTGATTTTAGAAGGCCACTCCAAGAGAGTTGGCATCGTAGCCTGGCACCCGACAGCCCGTAACGTGCTTCTTAGTGCAGGTAGGAGCCGAGCAGCCCCCTCCCCCCATTGTCACCGCTGCTTGCAGCCCTTGTTGTGGAGAGGAGCAGCAAGTGCCTTCAACTGTGTGCTAGACTGTTTGAAGCAGATCACTAGGAATCCACGAGGAGGCGCTGAGACCCGTGTTCCCTGACCCATGTGTGCGCATGTGTTAAGGCTACTTTGACAGTCTGTGGAAGATACAGATTTCCTGCTTAGGAAAATGAACAGATACATACTATCTGCATGTATCTCAGCAGATTCATTATTCCTGCTGGGGCTCTCCGTGGACCGCAGTTTTAGTTACTCTTGATGTAGCAGAAGGAACCCAGATGGGAACCAGGAGCCCTAGGTTCCAGCCCTGGTGTTGCTGCCAACTTTAGGGTGATCCTGTCAGGCTCATATCCTTCTTCCTTTTAAGGAATACTGTCACTGTCTCCTTATGCAAGTAGCATGTGCATGTTATATGTTACATATAAGCAAAAGGAAGAAAAGAAAAATCTATAATCCCACCACCCAGAGGGAACATCATTATTATCATTTTGGTGTTTCTTTCCAGACAGTACTTCTGTGCACACACGTAAATGATTTTAAGTTCAGAGACTTGAGTATGTGATCTTTTTCACATGCCATTAAATGTTCCTCTTATGATATTTTTAATGACTCCATTAATAGTCCACTGTCTGGACTATTTAAACCTCAGTTGTTTAAATCACATTTATTTATTTATTTATTTATTTATTTATTTATTTATTTATGGGTTTGTTTGTTTTTTGTGTTTTTTTTTTGATGGTAAGGTTGTTTTTGGTTTTTTTTCACTGTCAAACCACTTTCAATTTTAAGTTATCTTACGGAAATCCGTTTCTTTGTCTAACATCTGAGATTTTTCTTTTATAGAAGCATAAAAAGGACAAGAGGAAACTTTGTGGGGTGATGGGAATGTTTTATATCTTGATTGTGATGGTGGCTACACAAATATATATATGCTTGTCAAAGCTTCATGAGTGTATATTTTAAATAAATGTATTGTATTTGTTGCATGTAAATTATACATTCATTCTTATTTTTCTTTATCTTTGAAATAATGTCCTTGGAGCAGCAAAAGATATTCTTTTAAAGGGTCTCAGGGACTTGGGGCAGGCCTTTGAAGGAAGGATGTTGATGAGCTGAGGGTTTGTGGCTGAGGCAACAGTGTGGTCTCTGGGGACAGTTTCAGAATCCTCATGCCTACGTGACTATAACTTTGGGCTTCTCACATCACACTAATGCTGACCTATTTCTCCCCCTTGAAAGGTAAAGATCTATTAGCCAGTCCCTGCATTTCCCTTCCTTTTACTGTAATTTGCTTTGCTTTAATCCAAGACCATGTATTATAGCACAGCACCGTTGATTTGAATCACCTGCTCTCCACCATCTTTGTTAAGTGTCCTGAACAGTTTTTTAAGCTCTTTATTTTTAGCTCCCCTGGAAAAGAAATAAGCTGTATTCATTCTGATGCTAATTTACTAGAAAAGGAAACTGACAGCCCAGTTAACTCTTAAAAACACATAGGCCTGGCCCTGGCCGGTGCGGCTCAGTTTGGTTGGGCATCATCCGTGCACAAAAGGTCGATGGCTTGTTTCCAGTCAGGGCACATGCCTGGGTTTTGGGCTCAATCTGTGGTAAGGGGTGATTGATATCTCTCTCTTTCTCCCTCCTTGTCTCCCTCCCTCTCCCTCTCCTATTTTCTCTAAGATCAACAAAAGAAGATCTCTATCTACCTATCTATTTGTATATATGTATACGTGTATGCATGTACATATATATATATATATATATATATATATATATATATATATATGAAAGAAAAGTATACATAGGCCTTGGCCTTGTGGCTCAGTTGATTGGAGCATCGTCCCACACACCGGAAGGTTGTGGGTTTGATCCCTTGTCAGAGCACATACCTAGGTTGCAAGTTCGATCCCCATTTGGGGAGCATACAGGAGGCAACATATTGATATTTCTCTCTCTCTCCCTCTCTCCCCCCTCCTCCTCCCCCCCCTCCCCCCCTTCCACCTTTCCCCCTTCCTCTCTTTAAAGTCAATAAAAACATATCCTCTAGTTAGGTTTAAAAAAAACACAAACAGAAAACATAGGATTCTATTTTCTTGTAGTTCTTAGTTTTGTTTGGTTGTTTTTACTTGTTTCATACAAACCCAAACTTAAGCTACATTTTTACTTTTACGCTGATTTCTTTTATACAAATTTCTTCTTTCTTTGTTAAAACTCTCCGTAAGTAGGGCCTCTTGTCAGCACCTTCCTTTCAATGCACGTCTTTGTAGTTTCCACAAATGTGCCGTTGTGCAGGCATTTTAACAGCTGGGGGGTGGCTGTGCTTGCTCCTAGGCTGTGATAATGCCATCATCATATGGAACGTAGGGACGGGGGAAGCCCTGATCAACTTGGACGATATGCATTCGGACATGATTTACAATGTAAGCTGGAACCGGAACGGCAGTCTCATCTGCACGGCTTCCAAAGACAAGAAAGTGAGAGTAATCGATCCTAGGAAACAAGAGATTGTTGCTGTGAGTATTCCCCGGACAGAACCCCAGTATTTGTGGCCCTTCGGTGAGTGTGTCCTGTGTGCTTTCTGAGGCGCCACAGAGGGCTGTGTGCTGGTCAGTGGACCTCGCAGTGGACCTCGCCTGCGAATCAGAAAAGGCTGGTGCAGACTTCTGACGGTCTCCAGTCACTCCTCTCTTCAGAGCTATACATTCTAGCTTTTACCCATGGCTTAGCTCTGGCTTGGTAACCATTTTTCACAAAGAAACAATGTTTTTATCAGTTCACAAGAGTCCTTAAAAGTCAACAAGTGTAGATGAGCTACCCCAAATAGTGAACTGCATTCTGGCTTAGTACAAATGACTATTAAAGTGTCTCATAAAGATGCAGTAGGTTATTATCCTTAAGGTTATTAATCTCTTGAGAAAAGCATTTGGCAGAGTCCTCTCATGTGTTCTGTTTTTGCAGTGCATGGACTTGGGTTGGCAGTGGGGCCCGGTGGAAGGTATTGATTCAAGTCCTGACACTTGCTAACATGCTGAGAACCTTGACCAAACCACTTAGTGTCACTTTGTTTCCTTGTGTGGGGAGGGGAGGTGGTTATTACTGAGACACACACGTACCAGTAAACATCAATGGTGTGCGGGGTGCGGTTGGGTTGGGTGTGTGGGCCCCTACCCTCACACCTCACCCTCCTTTCTGCAGTTGGAATGTGTGCAATGCACCTCTTTGCTCTCTCTTGCAGGAGAAGGAGAAAGCGCACGAAGGAGCACGACCCATGAGAGCCATCTTTCTGGCTGATGGCAATGTCTTCACCACTGGTTTCAGCCGCATGAGCGAGCGGCAGCTGGCTCTTTGGAACCCGGTATGCCCCTTCCAGCCTTTCCACCAGCTCACACTGAGCTTTCTCTCTTTTCTGAGTGGGTCTTGGGGTTGGTACATAGATTATGATTCCTAGTGAGGTTTTCTGAATGCCCACTTGTTTTAAATTGGACGTGAAGTTCTCATCCTCACTAGACACTTATTTCTAACTTTCAAAAAATGCGTTGTGATACTCCAAAGACGAGAGTCCATGCTGACTATATTTTTTTTAAAAGAATGCATGAGGAATCCAGACTTGGGAAATGAGTTCTAAACTTAGTTATATTTCTATAGAGAATATGATCTAAATCAAATGTCTAAATCAAAGTAGTCATGCTTGAGAAAATGCTCATAATCACAAAAGTGGAAAAAATAGAAAACTGGCCCTGGCTGGGTGGCTCAGTTCGTTGGGGCATTGTCCCGTACACCAAAAGGTGGTGGGTTCGATCCGCAGGAGGCAACTGACCAATATTTCTCAGATCGATGGTGTGTTCTCCCTCCCTCTCTCTCTCTCTCTCTCTCTCTCTCTCTCTCTCTCTCTCTCTTTCCCCCTCCCTCTCTAGTCAGTAAAAACATACCCTCAGGATTAAAAAACAAAACAGTTTTGCTTATTAAAAAAAAAGCTAACCACATAAGGTATGATCCTAATTTGTGTACATACATGTGTTGGGAGGAAATAAACCAAAATGGTTATGTATTCTGCCACACACTGGATTGTGGATTATGGCATATGTGACTATTTTTATGTTCTACCTTGTAACTTTTTAAAGAACATATATTTAATTTATAATAAGAAAAAGGTATTTTTTAAAAACAAAAGTCACAAAGGAGAAGGGCACTTTCATCTTTGTCATAGAGTCACACTGATATGTACATTGATTATGTTATCAAATAAACAATTTTCAGTGGGTCAGATGCCACTTGCTATCCTTATTGGTATATACATGTATGAATGTTACATGTGCATTGTTTAAATGTCAATATTCTAGGGAAATTGCTAACTTGATTAGGGATAAAGGAATGTATAGAAAGGTAACAAAAATTTACCCTTAAATTGTTTGTGTATGTGTGTATATATTTTTTTTAATTTAATTTTTTAAAAAAAATTTCCCCCCCTAGAAAAATATGCAGGAACCAATTGCTCTTCATGAAATGGACACTAGCAATGGCGTGTTGCTGCCTTTCTATGACCCTGACACCAGTATCATTTACTTATGTGGAAAGGTAAAGAGTAATTTTGATTTTAATATTAAATTTAATCCTGTGGGAAGAAAAGTCTGTCCTTCGGAGATTTAGTAGATGGGCAATGGATTATAACATTTTAATTGATGTGTGGGTGTGTTATGCTATGATTTTGTTATGTTTGCGGTGAGACTGGACTGACTGTAACTTGCCAGATGTGTGGTGTTAACACTGTGCTCAGCACTCTTGACGGAAGCAGGGATGGGGCAGATGCTGATAGGGGAATCTTTGCTTGGGCACTCTAAGATGGAGTACGTGCTGGTGTTTTGTTTTTCTCTTTTTAATTTTTGTTCTTTTTGTTTTAAATTGATTATTGATTTTTACATGGTAGTGTTTTGTGTTACCTGGTGGTGCTGTGCGGTTGGTGATTGCAGATTTCTCGTCATTGGTGCCAGGGATGAGGAACCAGTTTGCCACATCTCATGCTGAACTCCACTGGATGGTTCTAGATTAGCACTTAGTGCTCATTGCTACATGCCATGCACTCCTAAGGAGAATGGTGCTTTGGGGGGCCTCTGAGACTCTCCAGAGGGTTCTTGTTCCTGGAGTTCGGTGTTAGGGCCCTGGACCGGAAAACGTGCGGCCTGATTCAGATTTCAGAAAGTGACGGTTGTTCCAGGAAGACCCCACACTGCAATAAAAGGTCTCCTGCCTTGTCTGCCCAGTGATCTCTGCCTAACTAAACGGGTGGCTTTATTGCTGTTTCATTTCAGTAGGTGGTAATCTCAGTATCATTCTTTTCTAGTTTAGCTTTCCTTAGAAGTTTGTGTAGTTGAAATACATGAGTTAATAAAGATGGAGTGATGCAGTCCCTCAGACCTGTTAGGGTTCCCCTTGCTGGGTAAAGGCTGATGTCCTGCTTCTTTTCATGGTTCACTGAGCGTGCTGCAGAGCTGCTTTACATCTTATAGGCCAGCCACTTAGAAACGAGATCTTGTCAGTTTCCTTGAAAGTCATTTTACTTCAGATGTTAACAGCCGGGTAACAAGGGCATGTTACCCGGAGGTGGTTAACACTGGGTGGGGAATTATTTTTAGTGTGCAGAGAGCAAACCGTATGTGTTTAGCTTCTTTTCCGTTGCTTTAGATTTTTATTTATATGATTGAAGTAAATAGAAATTGTGAAGACAGAGAGGATTGTTAGAGTGTGATCCTACCTATTTATGTCTTCGTGTGTGTGCGTGTGTGTGTGTGTGTGTGTGTGTGTGTGTGTGTGTGTTTTCTACCAGACGGAATTGCCTTTGTTGTTCAGGTTGGTATAAATGTGTGACCATTAAACAATTATTTGTACTTAGAGAGACTAGCAAGATTACTACAGAATTTTATACATTGCAATGAGGTAGGAAACCTTGTGAAGTACAAGGGTATTGCTAAAACGAAGGTTTCTTAATTAGAAAGTCTTAGTTTTTATTATCATCAGGCATTAGTGCCCTCAGGTCACTGAATGACACTGCTGTTTGGCAATGAACAAATAACTCAAATCAGTAGCCGCCCTCTCAGTCCTCCTGGCCTTCCGTGTGTCTTTTGAAGTTGAATTGCAGAGCAGTTGCTTGGCAGAGGCGTTAACATTTGCTTGACTCTGACTTGGTATCTAGCCTTCAGTAAAGGGATGCAGTGTTTGATAGGTGAGGGCTGACTCTGCAGGATGAGAAACCTTCACGTGTGTTAGGCCTTTAAGAGGAAGAAAGGGTCAGCCACTACAACAAGGAGCCTCAGAGAGGGATGGGTTACATGCCCAAGAGGCATGTAAAATTAAAATTCATTTTTATTAATTAAAAGAGTCCTAATTAATGCTGGGTTTAAAGGGGAGAGAGACACCACTTAAATCAGATACTTCAATTAGTAGTAAACACAAACTTGTCTCCCATTTCTTGTAGGGTGACAGCAGTATCCGCTATTTTGAGATCACAGATGAATCCCCGTATGTCCACTACCTCAACACATTCAGCAGCAAGGAGCCTCAGAGAGGGATGGGTTACATGCCCAAGAGGGGACTGGACGTTAACAAATGTGAGATTGCCAGGTAAAGAATCTGCATGTAACGTATTGGAATTGTTTATACCATCTGTGTTCTGCGAGAGCAACCCAACTACATGCAATTGCATGATGCCGGGTCTTTCTGCCCTTGTGTGCGGCCCAGAGACAGTGTCTCATTTCCTGCCCCTCCTCAGAGGCAGGGGTGTGCGAGTAGGGAGGCACCTTTCAAAATCATTTCATCTAAATATGCCCTCCCCATTCTTCAGAGTCTGTGCCTGGAAGTGCAGCGGGTAAAGTGGCTTCGTCTGCGTGTACTGGACACTTACTCCAGTAGTGAGACCATCACCTCTGGTGTTCAGGCCGAGGTTGCGGCCATTGTCCCTGGGAGATCCTGTCCCAGGGTGTAAATAAGGAATGGTGTTCCTGCCCTGGGGGAGGATGAACCAGGTTCCAAAGTAGATTGTGGACCCCACGGATCCCAAACTAGGGAAGCCAAAAACCTACAGTGGGGTGTTGGGTTGGGGTCCCTTGATTTGGGAAGTGATAGAATTCCCACCTCTCTGTACCATCTGGAGTTTTAAAATTTTATGGTTCCTAAGGGGAAGGCTCTTTTCTCATGCTAGTCAACAGAAGATACTCAGGAGACTCACTGACCACTGGCCAGTTTAAGCAACAGAACTAGTAGCCCCATGTTATCAAGCTAAGAGCCTGGCACACATTATATAGCACTCCGTTTCTATGCACGTTTGTCTCATAAGTGTGCTGTTCTGCTCACACACTTGTTAAATAATTGACACATCTTTAAAAATAAGCATTTTAAAGCTCTTTGTTATATTAATCAGTATGAGCTGTTGTTGTTTTGTGTGTGTGTGTTTAATTTAAATACATTCAACTCTGTATAGGTGCTATCTGATATGCAGGTGTTCATTCTTTCCTGTCTGTTGACCTGGCCGTTTTCACAAATGAGTCCTTGTCCGTGGTGTTATTCCCACCACGGTGGATCTGACCCCAGATAGTTGGAATTGGACTGTCAGCACCACACATAGAGCTATTCCTGGTTCTTGTCTCCCATTTCCTGGCACAGCTATGCTTGCCTTCCGTTTTCTCATCTGTCAACTGGGAATGCTAAGTTCCGGTGGGGCAGCTGAGGTGGTGGGCAGAGCATTTTGTATCCCTGCAGCTTGTAGAAAGTGGATATGAGTGAGCCTGTTTGTTACTTAGCCTCCTATTTTACGTAATGCAACTTTGCCTTTTTTTCCCTTTTGAAGATTCTTTAAACTTCATGAGAGGAAGTGTGAACCTATTATCATGACTGTTCCCAGGAAGGTAAGTGCCCAGTTACCTAAGCAATCTATGCTTTTAAAAGTTTTTAAATCCCCGATCTTCCTTCTTCCTCACTTAAGGGTTTCCCCAAAATGTCTCTTGTAGTCGGACCTTTTCCAAGATGACCTGTATCCTGACACAGCGGGGCCCGAAGCCGCGCTGGAGGCGGAGGAGTGGTTTGAGGGGAAGAACGCAGACCCGATCCTCATCTCCTTGAAGCATGGATACATTCCAGGCAAAAACAGGGACCTCAAGGTGGTGAAGAAGAACATTCTGGATAGCAAGCCCACTGCAAACAAGAAGTGTGACCTGATTAACGTCCCCAAGAAAACTGCAGACACCACCAGTGTGGTAAGGCTCGCAGGGGGGTGAGGGGTGCGTGGCTGGTCCTCCTGCAGCTCCTCCAGTCCTGGCACTGGCAGTGCTGTCCCAGCTGTGGACGGAGGGGCTCTCAGTGAGTGATGACCCAGGTGATAAGAATGTCCTGTGGTGACACTGGGATTGGGGCCATGCGTGGCTCCTTTGGCCTTTTTGGAGAGTAAACTGGAGCTTTTGGGTTTTTCTTAACTGTCTTTCCCCAAACTATGTACACCCCACCATCTCTGATGGGTGACATGGAACATGAGGGCACGGCGTCACAGCTGCCAAGAAGAGAAAGTCCTAGGAAGGAGGGAGTCCTGGGTGGGCTCGTATGTTGTGGAGTGTTTGAGTGACAGAGGATCGGGCAGGGAATGGGACTTAGCCACTAAGATGGACGTGGGTAGGAGGTGGGGAGTGGCCAGGCTGTGGGCCAGAGTTCCAGGAGTCAGAGGGGAGGGAAGGTAACGGAATGAAGAGGCCGAGTGCCTGGAGATGCTGGAGTTTGGGCCATTGGACTTCGGCGATCGCAGGTTTCCAAAGGAATCATCTCCACGCGGGGAGGCTCGGCCTGTTCAGAGCAGGTAGCAGGCGGGGCAAAGGATTTCGCTCCTGGAAGGCTTCTGGAAGGAGCGCTGTGGCCTCTGAAGTCCGCTCCCACCCGGTCACACAGTCACGGTGGAATTGCATGTTGGGAGTAGGGTGGCCTAGGAGAGTCAATCTTGCCCTGCCGTTGAGCTGTGCTGTCCAGGGCGTGCCAGGCACGGCTGGAAGCAGCGCTGGGAGGCGCTGCTGTTTTGTGGGGGCTTCACCTGGGCCGGCCCGCATTAACCACTTGCTCCTGAGCCCTGTCTGGCAGCGGTGGCTCTTTGCTCCTCACAGTGGAAAGTTCCGTTCTCTGCCTTATCATTGTCACTGCAGTGACCTTTGTATACTGTTTTAGTCACCCTCTTCCCCTCCCTCCTTCTTTTGTTTCCTTAGCAAAGTGAAGCCAAGTTGGATGAGATTTTAAAAGAGATCAAATCTATAAAAGACACAATCTGCAATCAAGATGAGCGCATTTCCAAGTTAGAACAGCAGATGGCGAAGATAGCCGCCTGAAGGCCACCCACCCCCACATGGGAGCAAGAACTCGGGCTTGGTAGCTGGTTGTTGGTGTGGTCCCGGGAGGGCGAGAGGGAGGCACTGCCATTCGGAGACATTCATTCCAGTGTGTCAGCCAGCGAGAGGCCGCATTCCCGTCAGAGCGCAATTCGTCTCCCAAATTCGCAGAAATGTGATTTAAAGCTGAGCTTTTTATCAGAAAACTTTTTTTTTTTTTTGATGTTTTAAGTGTTATATGTGACTTGTTGAACTTTTAAAAGACAAAAGTGCTACTTTTAAAATCCAAGATACTCTGAATTTTCGGAAACCAACCAATTCTGATTCAGTTTCGTGCCCAAGTACCTTTTTTTTTTTTTTTTTAACAAATAGGGACCAATGCCACATTGCTTTTTATATTTCTTTTTTTTTTTTTTTTTTAATGTTGCCAAACCAAAAGTAGCTTTTTTTTCCTTTGTATTTTGCTACTTTGCAGTATTTGTGTGTGGGTTTTTTTTTTTTTTTCCTCCTTAATTCAAAAGGGACAGCACTGTGTATGTTTATAAACTAAATGAAGATAAGATATTATTTTGTATAAACGTTCATCTGAGAACAATCAGAGCAGTAGCCACATCGTGCTGGCTCGTTTGCAGCACAAACCTGGTCATCGTAACGACTGTACACAAGGAAGACTTGAAAAATCACGTGAATTCGTATGACCACGCCTCTCATTTCATCGAGTCTTCTGGTCAGAAATGCTCATCGTGTCATTTACTTTCCTCCTTTCTCTTTTGTAGAAATTGGGTGGTTGTCCCCGAATGGAATTTTGCTTCTGGGTTACCCTGTGCTTCAGATGATTATAATCTAACCTAAACGAGCATGTGTTCCTGCCGTTTTGTCCACGTAGACGCTGTTGCATTCATCATTTTAAACATGTTTCAGGTTTCAATCAATACTTGACAAGGATGCCCGGGACAAGAAGACACACGAACTGTGGAGTGTTCCCTCTTGCCCATTCCAGCAGCTTGCCTAGCTCTCAAGTGCAGTGAGGGGCTGAAACGGAGGGAACCCTGAAGGGAGTGTCGGCCCCCGCGGTCCTCTGCTTTCCCGCACGCCCCATGCCGCCCCGTGCTGTGCTGGAGGAAGAAGCGGCTCTGCACCACCAAGCTCCTGTCTCCCCTTCCTCGCGTAGGCAGCCGCCTCTCTCAGGGCTCCCAGCCATTCCTCTCTCCTTCCTGCCTTCCACCCCTAACTGCTTCCAGCTAAGGTGAGGCCACAGGGTGCTACTGAACACTGAGGCTGAGGGGAATGGTCCAGAATGGCGTCAGACCAGGAGCGCAGATCTCTGCTGTAGCTTTAATGTGTACAGACGGGTCCCGTCGCACCCTGCACACACACTAACCCGCTCTGCCCCTCCAGCTCGCACCCAGGCTTTGTCAAAGCACAGAGGCTCCTCAGACTTGGGGTGGGGGGCGGCCTACAGACTGAGCTCTGCTCCCCTGTTCCATTCCCAGGTCCGCTAGGACTTCCTTCCATTTCCATTTTGTCACATCACATGTTTGAGAAAACTTAAGGAGCCTGTTTTGCAAGGAGTGAGTGTCTGTGATTGAACGTGAGACATAGAGTGCCATTGGGACCAATGGGGACTTGTTTGCACGTGCTGGTGCTGGTGTGGAGCCGGGACTAGCTGACGGCATTTGAATATGGGACCCAGAATGGAGACAGTATGGACAGTGGGTGGGGATGCACAGGCCAGCTGGGGGGTGTCTGCATAGAAAGGTACCATGTTCTTATCCGGTCCTGGGATTGCTGTCTCCCGAACTCTAGGGCCTCTGAATGTTCAGTGTGGTTTTGTGTCTGTGTGTAATTTTAACATTGGAGTGGATAATGAGACATAAAATAGTAATTACAGTGACTTACATTCAAACCCGTATGTTTCTTTGTCAATGTAATCTGCTGAGGACCTTCATTTTTAAGATTCAGAAATGTTTTAAGGTTCTGCTGTTAAGTGAACACAAGTGTTGCTGGTGGTGGCGGAACCCCTAGGGAATGTGGTGCAGAGGGAAGAGGGAGGACGGGAAGGTCGCCCCGACTCGTGTGCTTGTTTAGTGAACGATGCCCGGCCAGGCGGCCTCGCCCGAAGCAGTGTGGATTGTGTTTCCCGTTTTGTCTTCTTTTGTTCAAGCCGTGCTATCCCCAAGGAGAACCCGTGAATCCCTCCCAGATCGGCTCTTATAGAGCGGCCATAGTATTCTGTCAAACACTTGCTTCCATTTTCAAAGATTAAAAAAATCCTTGATTACAAAACGGTGTCTGTGTCTATTTCACACCGCAGAGGTCTCCAAGGCGGCCTCTGTGTCTCAGCTTCTGACTCAGTGGGACCAGCCAAGTGGCTGCTCCTCCCCGCGGGTAAGTGCCGGACCTGCGGGGGGCGCTGGGCTCCAGCAGGAGGACTGCCTGGTGGGTCCAGGTGACGGCTCTGGGCCAGGGTCCCAGGCCAGATATTTGAATCCTGCTCACAGCCTTCGCCAGGGGGGGACCTGGGCAGGTTTCCTGGCCTCAGGGGATCCCTTTTCTATCTGGAAAGAGGATGGGATTTTACCTGCTGTAGATGAGAGAACACCAGTGTCTGACCCCCAGGAAGCCCTCATGCACAGCGGTCCTGGTTACCATGAGCAGATCCCTGACGGGACCTTTGAAAGCATCTTTTCGTTCAGCAGAAGTAGGAAATGTCCCCTTGGGTTGGCCGTGATTTTTATTCCAGCAGAAGGCTCTTGGTCACTTGAATGTCATGGGCTTCCCTTTTTGCACTAAAACATTATCTCATGACATTCAGTGATAGTGGCAAAGAACTTCCCACTGCTTGGTCTTTCTAAACGGCCGTAAATATGGCCACTCGGCGCACAGCTTCCCTTCGAATATTTCCTAAAGTTGCTGAGAAGAATGGCAACCAGCACCGTGGTCAACTCGTGGCTGCAGGAAGTGGAAGTTGGCAGATGCTATCTGTAGCCCCTCGGCGCCCAGGTCAGGGGGAGGATGCGTGGTGGGGGTGTTTATGTCTGACTTGGCACCTCGCTTCTTTGTCAGAAGACCCGAAGGTCACCATGCCGGCCCCAGACGGCCAGCCAGGCTGCATGAGGGAGAACTTCCCCTTTTCTAAAGGTGACTTCCCCAGCTGGACTCGATGTTGGTTCCAGATAAGCTCTGCTGAATGTGAATCAGTTAACTACATGTGGCCCGGCCGCTTTCTGCAGCCCTCATTGTCATCAAAAAACAACTTAATTTTTCAGGAAGAAAGAAAAAAAAAGCCTTTTCTCCACTGTTGGAGGTAGTTTATGCAAATTGACACAGCCTTTCCAGAGGGCAGTGTGACGGGTATATCAGAAGGCTCACATCATCTTACTATTCTTACATATCTTTTTTATTGATTTCAGTGAGTAAAGGAGAGGAAGAGAGAGATATCAGCGTTAAAAGAGAGTCCTCTATCGGCTTCCTCCTTTACGGTCCCCACTGGAAATGGAGCCCGCAACCCGGGCATGTGCCCTGACCAGGAATTGAACTGTGACTTCTGGTTCATAGGTTGACACTCAACCACTGAGCGACGCTGGCTGGGCACATATTCATTGTTTTGACCCATGATTTCATCTCTGGGAATTTTGTCCCAGGGAACTAACGGGAGATCTATTCAGGAACTAGAAGAGGGAAAGTTAGTCCAGCTGGTTAATTTACTTGTCATATCCAGATGTTATAATGTACTAGTATAGTTACGTAAAGTCATTTAATAGTGTTTCAGGATATTGGACGTCCACCACCAGTGTATTTCAAGTGTCTCACAGTGAACGGTGTCACTGATGTCATCAGAAAAGTGAATTTTGTTACAAAAAAAGAATTCTGTCCAACTCTCTGCCATGAGGTCACTGTGAGGTAAATGGTGTTAGTATAAAAGCACTTTTCTCAGAGGTGAGATGGGGAGGGTGTGGAGTCCAGGTAGACTTGTTCATACAAACATAAAGGCCTGGCTCTATGACCTCGAATAAAGATGCATAAAATAGAATATCCACCCCAGAAGAGATGTTTTTGACAAACCCTCTTAAGGGTATACGTACATGCAATGTATATTTGTGTGCAGAGTAAATACCACAAATGCTCCTATGTGGATAGAGCAGTCATGGCTAATCTATTTCATTGGATTTTCCCTATCAATGTCTTTGTTCCCAGGAAGAAATTATTAAAATTAGTGTATGAATGATAAATTAGCAATACATTAAGACAAGCCTCACAAATCAGTGGCGGGAGGAAACGGTGTGGCTACATTAAGTGGCTGGGCACAGGGGTTCGTTGGAGCCTTCTGGTGACACTCATGTACGCTGTTAAGTCAATAGTTAAATGAAAGGACACAAATTTAGAAGAAAAAAAGTAAGTTCCTCCTTGTCTAGACTTCAGACTGGGGAAAACCATTTGTGATTTTAAAATCCCAAAACAATAGAATAAATCACAAAGGAAGGGATAGATTGGCCACATAAAAACCAGACTTTAAGATGTCAGAAGATGAAGGCTGTACAGACTAGGGAATAAATATATTTTCAACCAATATGATATGGGACATATAGTTTAATATGCTCAATCTCGGTCCCGGTCGCCACCTGTGGTTGAAGTGGGATGACATCACCTCCCTAGTGGGGTGTGTCCAATTTTAAGTCCCAAAGGATAGCACCCCGGTCCCTGACCCCACAAGTGTAGCCCACCAGCACACAGTTTTATCAGACATCGGGGTGGGAGGACTTTGCTAGGAGGCACGAGTCCTGGTGTGCCTCGTGAACTTTCTCCAGTTGCAAGTTCTGGAAAAGGGCAAGTGGGGAGTGGGAAATTGCTCCAGATCCAAAGATGCTGGCTGCAGACTTTGCTAGATCAGTGGGAATGTGAAGGGAGGTGATTTTAGAGAGAGGCTGGTGGGAGCTTGGAAATTCAGTGTCATTTTACTCTACTGTGTGGAGAGGAAGCTGGGTTAGAAAACATTGTAA